GGGGTTCCAGTGATGATACGGGCCGAAGAATTCTGGACCAATTGAAGTTTATGGAGGAATTTGTTGTGGACACCGAAGAGAAGTGAGTTGCAATAGTCAATACGGGAGGTGACGAGACTGTGGACAAGGATGGTAGTGGAGTGAGGGGTGAGAGAGGGACGGAGACGGTTGATATTGCGTAGGTGGAAATACGCGGACCGGGTTATGTTATTGATATGAGAGTGGAACGATAGTGAGCTATCGAGAATGACACCCAGGCTCTTGACCTGAAGGGAGGGGGATACAGTGGAGTTATCAATAGTGAGAGAAAAACTGTTGGTTTTCTGTAGGGTGGATTTGGTACCGACGAGGAGGAGTTCTGTTTTATCACTATTAAGTTTGAGGAAGTTGTGTGTGAACCAAGGTTTAATTTCTGAAAGGCAGTGTGAGAGGGAGGAGGGTGGGAGGGATGCGTCGGGTTTGCTGGAGAGGTAGAGCTGGGTGTCATCCGCGAAGCAATGAAAATGTATACCAAATTTACGGAAAATATTGCCAAGGGGGAGAAGGTAAATAATGAAGAGGAGGGGTCCCAAGACAGAGCCTTGGGGCACACCGGAAGAGACAGGGAGGGACTGTGAAGTGAAGGAATTCAGTATCACTGAAAAAGTGCCCTTGGTGTCTTCATTGGAATCACTCAGTCATCTTGAAAATGGAGCAGTCATGAAGCGTCGAGGTCCTATTATAAGCTGCCAAACATTTGCACGCATACCAGTACAATGGGCAGTTTAAAATGTGTTTCCTTTATTTTATTTGGCTCGTCACTGTTCTTGATGAGGATGTTTAAGAATGAGTGTGTCACTCTGTGCGCAAGAAGCATCGAAACACCCCTGAACATCCAGCAGAAGAGTTCCTTACCGACACAGACACGTCCATCCAGGCCAACCGCCATCCCTGACATGCATTCACAGCGGAAAGAGCCTTCCGTGTTGACGCAGTGGCCATTCATGCACATACCTGGAATCTCACACTCATCAATGTCTGGAAGCAGATAAACAAAAGAGGTTGGGCTTTTTTTTGAAAAGAATATAAATTCAACAAAAGAAAAATATTGTGTTAAACCACTTTCTGCCAACATGTGCAATTTTATTGGGTAACTGAACAGACTGAAATTCTCAGCACATGGGAAAAAAAAAAAAAAGTGCCCCGTTAATCCACTTCCAGCTGCAGCGTGGCATAGCTACTTTGAGTATGACTCGACTGATTGGAAATTGTCGTGAAACCCGTGGCCCTGAATCAGTTCCATGAACTCCCTCACACCATGGTCTTGAGCATATCACATTGATGATCGTGATAAACGACAATGCTGCAAGCGTGCAGATGGTTTTTGGTTTGCTGAGAGAGACGGGGACTCCAGGGACCTTTCTGACTCACGTTTCGTTAATGACTACATACGTCAGCACACTTCACACACACCCTATGACTTAACTAGGTCAGCATCTCCAGACCAAATCCCAAATTGAACAACATGACTTCAAGTCATCTTTTTCCCTGTCTTATTTGTGAACAATTCTAATGCTTTCAATTTTGTAGTTAAGAAGCCACAGTTGCACTTTGTGTTTGATGAGACATTGCCAAGTGTTTATCCAAAGTAGCTGCCCCGTACCATTCAAAATTTTATGTAACATCACAAAAAAGATTTTTTTTTTTAATTGTACAGTATTGTACCGTCTCCATAATTGAGGCAACACACGATTACTGTTTGCCACACCAAAAAAAACAAAACAAAAAAACAAAAAACATAAAACCAGTGATCCACTCAAACACACTTCTGCTCAATCGCAGTTCCACGGTGGAAGACAGACAGAAGGTCATCAACTCTAACATGGCTGCTGTTACATTTGTAGGATATCATAGATGCACCAAGATACCCATGTCTGCTTTGGTATAGAATAGTTTTTCCAAACCAGGACTAAACACGGCAGTGGAATCCGTAACGACAGACCATCAGAATATCCAAAATCCCGTCCACAACTGCCAGTTTGCGTTGTGACTGCAAAGCACTAGTGACAGTATTGTAGTACAACCTATTTAGTCACCCAGACCTATCAAACAGCCTACAAAGGAAGAGTTTTCCACCAACACAGGGTACTCAGGGCAGTGTCCGCACATGCGTTTGGCTGTGCAGTCAAATATTAATTGTGTTACGCTGCACTGCACTGCTACAGTAATTTCGTTCTGACCATTATTACAATTGTTGAAGTTTACATACTTTGTACAAATAATTTGGAAATATGCATACTTTGTTGTGAAATGTTCACCATACTGTATTTTCAAGGGTAGAGCAATGTTGGAAAACACTCTGAAGGAGCTTCAAAAGTTTGTGGAAATTTGCTATTTATGGTTGGGTTCAGTCCCAATCTCCCACGAATAGCAGGGGTCCATTGTAGTGTCTGATTTAATCCAATTGGCATTCAAGGAATCATATTTGATGTACTGAGGGTAACAGCAGACTCATAAAAGTGAATGTATGACTGTCTGTCTGTCTGGCTTGTCAGTGGAAAAGCTGCTTCTCCTCCATCTTATGTTAATTTTACGACAAGTTCTTTTCCCTGTACATGAGCATGTTTAAGATGGCTCGCTGCTCAGGAACGTCAGAGCAGGCAGGCCCCAGTGATCCACATGTCCAGCTGGGATGCTGCCAGCATGCTGAGGGATTTTTGCAAGGCTTTTTAGGGGATTTTTTTTGTTTTCTGCCCTTAGGACACTCACAACAGAACTACTAACATACCAGGCATGTGGCCACCCTTCACGTTTACCGAAATAAAGCCACCTACGCCAATGACACACTGGCCAAAGTGAGGTAAGGATTACTAAGTATCAGTAAGCATAGAAGGATGTGACAAACTCACCTACACACATGCGCCCACTGGTATCGAGTAGGTAGCCCGGTTTACAGATGCATTTGAAGCTGCCATCCTCATTGATGCAAAGTCCATTGAGACACATGTTTCGGATGAGACACTCGTCTTGATCTGAGGACGATCACAAGCTAGTTAATGGATGTTATTGCATCACCAGCTTGTCATTCATCACACACGTCCTCAAGCATGTCTACGAGGGGATGACATTTATTTTTTGGGGAATGCTGCGGCTCTAGGGAATCCAGCGGTACGGGAGTGGGAGTCATTCTGAACAGGAGCAGGAAGGAATTGGAGTCGTTTTAACCGGGATGAGACGGGATAGGATTTTATTTTTTTTTTAATTAACTGTGGTCCGAGACGGTCTGGATTTTTTTCTGTGGAAGTGAGATGGGACAGGAGAGAAAATCCACTTCTGGGTCTCCTTCTAATAACTGTGATTTCTCATTAACTCGCTGCTGATATAACTTATTGTGTTTGAAAGTGAGTCTAAGATATGAGAGCTTCCAATTTTAATGACTATGAAATTACCGAGATGAATTAGAATATCCACACGCATGTTTTGCCTATAGCTAATTGCATGCAACAGTTCAAGAGATGGTGTGATCTGGGCTGCAGATTCTATGAGGAGGCCTTCACCGACGTTGATGGCAATCAAGTGGTTCATTACGATCTCGAGGAGGGCGGCAACCATGTACAAAATGGACACTGTGCAATTAATGTGTATTATGTACACATTCAGGGTGCTACAGCTGGGATATGCTCCAGCATGCCCGCGACCCTCTTGAGGATAAGCGGTTTTGGAAAATGGATGGTAATCATCAATGTCCTGGTAAGTTAAAGGTTACTTCAAGCGATCTTAGTTGTAGTTCACCCGTTCTGAATTTTTGACAAAGTATAATACTATTTGGGTGTAATTTTAGAGTTATTTGAAGAAAATTATTGTCTTGGCATTGTCTGATTTTACAATTGCATAATTTGTATTAACTTAAAATACGCAAAAAAACTAAATACAAAACATTAGCTTCAATCTGGAAACCATCTCATCCATTTACAAAAAAAGGGCGATGTCTGCTTTTGCATTTGAATTCTTTAATTGCACTGGGAGGAGACTTTCTCAAATTTCAACACTTTCATTTGTGTCCAGTGGCTTGTTTAACATCAGTGGAAGGCTACAACTTGTAACTTTGGAAAAACGTTGGACTTGACATTAAGTATAATATTCAGTAGTTAATGAGCCAAACAGACAACACCCTGGCATGAGCAGTTGCTCATTATAGCACTAAACAGCCTAGAAACACCCTTTCTCCAATTGCCAAAAGCCTCATTGAGCACTGACTGAAAGAGTAGCAAGGTTCATTAGACAGGATGACACCGACCACAATCAAAAAAGGAAAAAAAAAATCCCCAAACTTGTATTCCATTAACGCAGATGTGTTGACTCACCTTGACAGTTTTTGCCATCCGTTGAGATCTCAAATCCGGCATTGCAGACACAGTGGAAGCTGCCCTCTGTGTTCACGCAGCGACCGTTGTTGCAGATACGACCATTGGCGACACATTCGTCCAGGTCTGAAAAACAAGGCTGTCATCACGTACAGAACATTCTAATGTGTGTGCGCGCGCGCGCGTGTGTGTGTGTCTGCCTGCCTGTCTGTCTGTCTGTCTGTCTGTCTGTCTGTCTGTCTGTCTGTCTGTCTGCCTGTCTGCCTGTCTGCCTGTCTGTCTGTTCATGCATTTGTGTGCATATTGCGTGTTGGTGAGTGCAGTAGTCCCATCAGGAAAATAATTCTGGATTACCTCTCACACATAAATGAAATGCCCTCTCACTCACCACTGAAATCCCTTTACACCATACTCATAGACAATACCGAAATAAACTTTCAGTTGTGTGTATGAGAGCATTTCAGTAGTCACTACTGTGAGTAGTATGTGAGATTCTTTCAGATGTGTGTGAGTGAAAATAAAATCTGTATCATGTGAGAGTGTGTTTTAGTAGTGAGTGTAAGAAGATCATTTCATGTGTGAGAGTGTTTCAGGAGTGCGTGTGAAATGTTTCCCAGCAGTATGTGCGAGCATTTCAGTGGTGTTAATGAGCAAAAAATACAGTGGCATATGATAGTGTTTCAAGGGTGACGAGGAGAACATTTCAGTAGTGTGAGTGAGTATTTCAGTTGTGTGAGAGAGAAAAAAAAAATCAAGCTAATGCGAGAGCGTTTCAGTAGTCTATATGAGAGCATCTCTGTAGATCGTGTAAATGTGTTTAAGTAGTCACCATTGAATGTGAGTCCAAAAACAAAAAACAGTCGTTTGTGAGAGTGTTCAGTTGTGGCTGCGCATGTTTAGTAGAGAGCATGAGAGTGCTTTAGGGGTTGGTGTGGGTGCAATCCCATTGTGTGTTTGAGAGCACTTCATTAGGGTATGTGAGCAAAATATCAGTGGTGTATGTGTCTGAATTTTAGTAGTGTGTGCTCGAATATCTTAGTAGCTATAGTGAAAAACATTTCAGTCGCAAATATCAGAGCATTCTCAGGAGTGTGTGCAAGAGCAGTTGAATGTGTGTGAGTTTTGCGTGTAACAGTGTTTCAGTTGTGTGTTTGTTTGTGTGAGAGAAAAAAAATAATTGTGAGTGACAGCATTTCAGCATTTCATAGGGTGTGTGAACGCATTTCAGTTGTCTGTGTGATAGCGTGTTTCGTGTGTGAGCGAGGTTCTGCTGAATGTATGTTTATGTGTGTGTCCGTCACCTCTGCACTTTGTCTTGGTTGCTGTGGACTGGAATCCGACGGGACATCGACACATATAAGACCCGGGGGTGTTCACACACTCTCCATGAGCACAAGGGCTTCTCTCACATTCATCCTCATCTGCAGTGTAAACATCAGGTGCCAATAAACATTGTCACCATCATGTTTCTTCTCTCTAGTAGTAGAAATAACACACTCTCTGAATCGCGCAGTGGCTTACCAATGCACACGTTTCTCCTGTCCAATGTGAAGCCCATGTTGCACTCACAGCGGTAATTAACACCCGGCAGGGGGATACATCGGCCGTTCGGACAGAGGTTACGATAGGCTTGGCAAATGTTGGTGATATTCTGGGTTTGGATGATGACTGGACCTGACAAAAATAGGCATGAACATATCGTAAAGTGGTCATTTCTTCATCATGTCTAAAGTGTAGCGTGGTGTACCTGGAGGAGGCTGTAATGGTAGCTGTCCTGGAAACTCGCCTTGACCTGGGGGACGATCCGGGGTTAGATCTGGATAATGACCCGGCGTCCGACCAGGTCCTGGTCCCGGCCCTACTCCTGGTCCTGGGCCCTGACCAGGAGTACGGCCCGGGATATGTGGGTAGATGCCTGGAATGTCAGGGCCCCCCGGTCCACGTCCAGGTATGATTCCCCCACCTCCAATATCGGGTAACTGGGTGCAGAGTTTGTGGTACTCTTCTACAGTGAGATGAAAATACATGTCTTAGCAATGAAACAGCACATGAAAGGGAGACATTTTTTTTGTGTGATTAAACCGACCTGCTCCGCGAATGGGACACATTTCCGGAGTGGAGCCATCGGACCAGCATCGCCCGCTGTCACAGCAGCACTGCATTTTGGTCAACAGCTGTGAGTTTTGGTTGGCACAGCGCCCATTCAGCAGGCTGGCGAAACAGTAACCGCCGCGAGCATCTGTGGGAAACCCCATGGCATAAAATCAATGGGAGCGATGGGACATGCCATGTGTCGTCAGCGTGGTGAGGAATTGGGCAAAAAAAAAAAAGACGATTCACATTTTCCATCATTCGCGAGATGGAATCCATGTCAACAGTTCCTGGCATTGGAGATGCGCATGACTAACACTAAGGTTCTAGTTAACACAAATATATCACTTTTTTTTCTTTCACACCCAGACCCAACAGTCTTCATGTGGTGAGGTTTGACTCAGAAACATGTGCTCGATCCTCCAGGCAAACGTAAGAATCAAACCAAAATGTTTAGCGTAACTAGACAGAAAGCCTCAGACATTCCCTCCACATAACAACCTCTCCTAGCGAGGAGAGTGAATGTCTTTGTATAATCTATGCGTGTGTGTGTGTGTGTGTGTGTGTGTGTGTGTGTGTGTGTGTGTGTGTGTGTGTGTGTGTGTGTGTGTGTGTGTGTGTGTGAGTGAATTTTTTTGACCGCCTGGACCCAAATTCCTCGATGGTGTGGGTCAAAGTGAGATGCACTTTACAGATTTCTTTTGTGATGATTGCACAGCAAGTAGATCTATAAGATGCAATGCACATAAGTTAGATATAAACTGTACCTAAATAAATGTTTCAAAACAAACCGTTTTCAAGCTTTTGATGCACATGTACCTGAAAGTTAAATACAACTGAACTGTAACGGTACCTTAATTTGTGCCACTTGTGCCACACTACATTATTTAGTCAAACAAGCATTGACACTCACATCAACGCTTAAGAACAAGTTCGTTTTCAATGACAATTGTTAGCAATGTGGAAGGAGTAGGAAAACCCGCAAAAAACCCAAGTAAGCACGGAGAGAGCATGCATGTTCCACACAGGAGCCTAGAGCTCAAACTTTCAAACTCCTGCCTCAGAACTGTGAGGCGGATGTTCTAACCACTCACTTGTTGAAAACATGTCAAAAAACAATGGATTATGCACCCACACCTTTTAAGGACAATATATTTTACTTCCTGTTACGCGTGTGTCGAAAATCAAATCGTTCCTTGTGTCTCAAAAAAACATCAATAAATAAGCACTGTATGCACTGAGAAAAATTGTGCTTTGAATTTATCCACTTTCATTTTGTCAAGTGGCTGCAAAAAATAGATTCGTCAGATGGTTGTATTTCCTGCAAACACTTGACGGGAGAAAATTGAGTAAATTCAACACTACCAGGGTACTTTTTTTTAGTGTGGAGGAAAAAAAATGCAAAAGAATTTCAACAGTCGGTCACCAATTGCAGCTGCAGACGCAGTTGGTTCCACTCATCTAAAACTTTATACAAGATGCACTTGGGCACATTCATACTGGAGCAATAAAGAGCATTTCCCCAAACTTTCCCAGCAGAGTTGAAAGCACAAAATGGTGTACATGTTTTGGGTGGATGAAAAAATCAAGATTGATTTCATGCTGAATAATTAATTGCTTAATGGGTGTGCCGCATACTGAGAAAGCAGCTCATTGTTGAAGAACTGGAAACAAACAGTTGACCTAAATTCTACCAGCTGGAAGCTTGAACCAACTTTCTTTCGCAAGAAAAAAACAGAGAACAGAGGAGATGTCATGGAGACAAAATGATTCCCTCAAGCTGTTTTTCTCATGACTTATCTGATTTGGTCAAAAAAAAATCATGGCGAGCCGGTAACCACATGCAAGGTTAACGACAGCTCGCCCTGCCAAATGGACTCACCTATACACCTGGAGCCATCCATCGAGACGTAATATCCCTGCGGACACTTGCAGAAGTAACTGCCGGCAGTGTTTGAGCATTCGCCAACGCCACAGACACCCGGAATGTTGGAACACTCATCAAGATCTAAGCAGAGGACAGGTGTGATTTTCTTTCTCAAAATTGTTTCTGTTTGTTTGTTGCAACTGGAATGTAATCACAACCGGGGATGAAAGGGTTTCAAATGGAAACTTGAATCTGTGTCAGAGTGACCTAAGCATACACAATCAAGCATATATTATGAAGGACATTGAATACTCGGGCCTCTGTTGCACGTCACCAGACACACTATACTGTGACACACAAGTGTTGAACACATATTTTACACTGTCCAGACATTTTCCAGCAATTATTTTAAGCCATATAAAAAAAAAAAAATTGGGCATACTGTACTGTATTTTACCATTCATATGAATACCACAAACTGCTCAATGTGTTTCCCTCGATTGCCGTCTGGAGTTAAAATTGGTCTGGAATTTCTCATATCCATGTCTTAATGAGCCCTAATTTTTCACTGGCACACGACTGGTCTTAGTTGAGGAGCCGTAGGGTTACCAAGAGTTTTGCGGCGCTGGTTATACAAAACAAAAAAAAAAAATGATTCCGCACTCCCGCCGAGAGTTAAATGTCTCCCGAGCTCCATGTGGCTGTAATATTCAGATGGTTGAGCCTCACTGATGGGGAAAATAAAAATTCAAGCCCATTCAGAGTTACAAAAACCTCAATTTGGATCAAAGAACTAAGAGAGGATGCTTTTTTGGTTTAAGGCTTGCCCGAGACCCAAACGCACATGTGTGGTCCGTGCTCGCAAAGCAATCATCAGTTCACCACGCCTGGCATCAGCTTAACCACAACTTGACAAACACTATACTTTCATGTTTGTTAATGAAACTTTTAACTCAAGTCATTTTTGGGTGTACTCTGTCATTTGATTTAATAGGGCTGCCAGAGCTTGATTCTTACCTTCACATTTCTGTGAGATCTCATTAAATTTGTGCCCAGCGGGACATTTACATTCAAAGGATCCCACTGTATTGATACAGTTTCCACCCTGACAGATGCCAGGGATTGCCTGGCACTCATCCACATCTGGAAAAGCACAACATATTTATCGTTAACGCTGGCTGTCGCATGTACACGTGCAGTTCACGTATTCTAGATACCCGGATACAAAAAGGCTAAAGAATGTTTGTCCCGTCACGTTCGGACTTTTCAACATGACAAAGGAAAAAAAGGAAAAATGAGAAAAGAACGTTTTCCAGAAGGAGAGCACACACGGAAGCCAAGTCGCTTCAGGAAATGGAAGACACAGAGACACTTTTGCACAATGTGATACAGCTCTTGTGCTGGACCTCATTCGACTGTGAAAGGGTCTGTTGATGGAATAGGATTTGATGAAACACAATGGGGACCATAGGGGATTCTGAGATTCTTAAAAATGTACATTTCTGTGTACCCAGTTTTATATTATTAATTGATAGTGTGTAAATGACTTGACTGCAGGCTTCAAAGTGAAACCGTCCAGGATTCAGTGACCTGATGCCGCCCGAGCATACACCAGGTTGCCTGGCATCCTGGCTCGGGCGCTCATCTCCTGTGGGGGTTGCAATGTTGTTGGGTCTGGAGAAGGCAGCCGGCCCGAGGGACGCCTTTCCAAAAATGAGCTCTCCCACATGGCACCACCACTGACCCGTGTTACTGACTCTGACAGTCTCAGCACAGTAGGGGACTGTGGGCATTCCATACACATGTGGGAGGCATTGCCACCCACCCCAATTTAACCCAATTAGAACTAATCCTCTGGAGAGGGGATGGTGCATAGAGATGAGGGGTGACAGAAGGAGAGAGTCAAGGCAGACGAGAAGGGTAATAAGATACTGTAAAAGCGCCAGGCAAGACCAGAGCTGAACTTTTCTTCCAAAGCCGAAACAAAGCGCCAACACAGAAAGAGAGATTTAGGCACAGACTTTACCTTGGCATGCTCCTGTGCGGTGGTTTGGTATGAAGCCTCTCCGGCACGGTTGAGGCTGGGCTGGGCACATTTCGCACGGGTGACCCCATGCCCGTCCCACTGTGGCACAGCACAGAGTCTTTGTGCAAACAATACCAGTGAGCTGGCCTTGACACATCTGTTTGTTCACTGAGGCGAAGCATGGACCGGTCCGATAGTCTGTGAAGGAAGGCAAAACAAGAGTGAGTGCAAATTGTGAACTGGGATGGAAAAGAATCATACAACTGGAATGGCACTCGGTTAAGACCGCCGCCACACCTGAAGGTGGCAATACTGCAATGATCATGACAAAGTTGATATGGGCTGCCACGCACCGCAAGCTTTTTTCAGTGGAGCACCATCTGTGTTCGCACTGCGTGCAAACAGACTGCAACGGCAAAATAATTGGATTCCTTGCTCGATTGATTGAATCCTTGGTCTAGTTTTACGCTAAGCGTTGTAAAGAGGTAGAATATTTGTGGGGAGATTTCCATTCAGGTTGTCACGATAAATAGAGGGATAAACCTAACTTGATACCGTACTGAAACGTTACCATGGCAAAAAACTGAAAGGGAAAGTCAAGTAAAAAAAAAATTTTTGCATTATATGTTCAACTATATGTGCCTCCGCTAGTCTAATCACGGTATTGTGGTTGTGGAATATGAATAAAGGCGAGGCACGTCATACGCAAGGTAACTCAATGTGCTTCACACAAACAAAGAGATAACGACAAGCATTTCCAAACAAAACAGTTACCGGCATTCAGAACCGAAGCAGAGAAAACAAAAGTGGCTGACAAAAATTACCACAACGTACATTGACACCATTTAAACATATGAACAGAAAACGTAAATAAATAAATAAATAAAGAATAAAAGTAGGTTTCTAAAAAAAAAAAAAAAACTAAAAGAAAACAATCAATTAAAATGGTTTCGATGTCTTTAATCAAAGGTAAAAAAAAAAAAAGAAGCAACATCTGAAACCTTAATTACAACACTCAAATCCAAAAATATTGTTTGACAAGTTTCATGAGACAAAAAGCTCATAAAATCTAATAAATTTCACTTTATTTATCATCATTACACTTTCAGGAATAGCCTAATCTAGAAACTGACTGACAGCTCATGTTTATGGCGGTGATTTCCAAGACACTAAAACCAAAGCTAAATAGTTTTCGTTAAATATGAGCAAAACATCGTCTGTCTCTCCTCCTCTTCAAATTGGGTTGAGAAGCTCATTCCCTTAATCCCAAAGTGGGTATAAATTTATCTACATACATCAGTCTCTCCCCAAACACCAGTCATTTACTTCGTTTTGGATTGGGCAATATCAACAAATCTTTTTCGGTGAAAAGCCTCGGTAGATGGTGAACAACAGATAGGAACGGCTAGAAATAAAGTGTATGGAGGGGGTTGGGTGAGTGAGGAACTTGTCCCTCTATCCAGTAAATAATCCCCCAAAAAATCATTTCCACATTTCACAGCAGACAACAGACAGCGAGAGAAAAGACGGAGACAAGTTCCAACGGCGCATTTGTTTCAAACAAACGGGACATTGTGCGTTCCCCATGTGCATGGACCAGGGCCCGAACCAAGCCCGTCACGTGCGCCACGGCCTCCACGGTGTCTCGGCCTCTGGCGGCAACTCTGTGTGAACCAGAACTGGGTCATCCCTCCTTCTCCTTCCCTTCCTCCCAACCTGAGTAGCACAATCTCGATTATAGATGTATGTTTGCCATTGTTCCACCACTGCCTCCTCCCAACCGCAAGAGGAAACTAACTGCGCCTCAACAGAGATGAACTGTTTACTTGTTGTGAATGGCGTAAAAACAAAAACAACAACAATATTGAAGTTACCTATGTGGAAAGGAGAGGTGGGTAGTTTTACATTTACTTGATTACTTCAGTAACTTTTTCATTGAAATTTGCTTGTCAGAGTAGTGCACTCTATTTTTTTATTTGGGTAATTCTGTTAAGGAGAAAGGCTATTTTTATTCCGTGACTGTAAGTTACATTCCGTTTTCCACACTGCAAAAAAACAACTCGTATTTTGGGGGGCTCAAACAGTCATTTAAGTTAGGATCAACTTTAAAATGATTGATATTTATGGCAACAATGTGAATTAGCACAACAAAGCACGCAAGTTGTTTGTTCCAAGACAATTTTCTGAGTTGGGTTAATTTATATTTTTCAGTTGGAGGGTGACAATACAAGGGTTTTGTAAACTCTTATTTCTTTGTTTTGAAATGTGGAAAAGATAGTTTTCAAAAAAAGCTAAACTTAAAATATTTAGTAGAATTTTCCAACTTAAAATTGGATCCGTTTGATTCCTTGAAATTTAACCCAACTTTTTTTATAGAGTGTGCTGGAGTGTACTTATCTACATGCGGGTATTTATTCGTCATGTCATGTCTATTTCATCAATCCAATGGAGCCAGGTAGTCACTTGGCCGCAAAGTCGCCAAGGCCCTACGAAGAAGCAAAGTTTGACACATTGCATGCAGCATGGCAAAATTCTCTGTTTACCTTACAGAGAGGCTCCAGTTCACCTTAACCCAAGCGAGAAAAGAACAGCTATGTCATGCGCTGTGCTTTGACCGCCCCTCAAAATGTCAGCATTTCAGCCTACAAGAACTGCACTTGGAACTTGAGAAGTATACAAGAGGTAGTCTTAGTTTGCATTTGAGAAAATGCAATGGTCTGTGGAATAAAAGCGGCAAGTCGGCCACAGCACGTGAATGCAAATTGTATTTCCTCCAACCCAATCAGGCCTGGTGGCGTTCTTTGTTCCTCGCTGTAGAAAGGGTTGTGCACTCTCAAAAGGAACAGTGAGATAAGCGATCAGCAATGTACACGGTGTGCCGAAGATAAAAGTGGTAAATTGGCAAAACTCAAATCGTTTTTGAGTCATGAAACAGATGTCAGCATTGTTTTTACATTTAATAATGTCGGGTGAGTCTATTGTGCGATTTCACATTCATGAAAAAATGGAAGTCAAGACAATTTCTTGAGGCTGAAATCGACTTCTTAGCTTATGTTATTGTTATTGATAAAATGTTATTTTGAAGTGATATTGTCGGGCAATATTTGAATTTGCTATCAAATAGTTTTGTTTATTGAACACTCGTGTGCAATTTGAAATGAACAAAATCAAAAGTTAACCACCGGTTACTCAGCACCTGAGCTTCGTACCGAATTACTTATTATTGGAAGACTACTTTTTACTTGTATTGGAGTCGTATTATTCTAAATTAACAGTACTCTTGCTAGAGTATGATTTTTGGCTGCTCTACCTATGGTATTTAACTTTGATGGAAAGACACGATTTCAGATAAACATTTTTTAAACAGCCTATAAATAAGCGAGGCGTCACAGTGTCGACTGGTTAGCACGTCCGCCTCACAGTGCAGGGGGCGGGGTTCGCTGGCCTTCCTGTGTGTAGTTTGCTTGTTCTTCCTGTGTCTGCGTGGGTTTTCTCTGGGTACTGCGGTTTCCCCCCACATTCCAAAACCATGCGCAGCAGGTCGATGGAACACTCTAAATTGTCCTTCGGCGTGATTGTGAACGTGGACGGTTCTTCATCTGTGTGTACCCTACGACTGGCTGGCAACCAGTTCAGGGTGTCCCCCACCTACTGCCAGAAGACAACTGTGATAGGCCCAAGCACACCCGCGACCCTCGTGAGGATCATTGGATTAGAAAATGGATGGATGGATGGATGGATGAATAAGTGATAAAACCTTTTGTAGTTAGTCCCTTGCTCATCCCTAATAATTCATGTTCGCGTAACTCACTTGTGGCTGCTCCCCCTTTTCATTATGGACTTCACTAAAAAGGCACTTTGAACAATCATGGCATGACATCATTTAACTGATTTACAAGATACTGACTCACAAAGACGGCATGTTTTACTTTCCTCTATAGACATATAGAATTTGACGGGGACGACCAGATGTTTAACAATAAACTGTGAGTAGAACAGTTAACTGGAGGAGCTGTTAACTGCAAAAAGCACAAGAGTATAGTTGTGAATTCGAATGAAATGTAAGCGTTGAGTTTAGACAAATAGGGAGAGGCTGAAAGTTGGAGGGGGAAAGTAGTGGTGTCATTTTATCTGTCCCTCTCTCCATGAAGTGTGTGCAGCTGGGGTGGGGGTTCCACCCACGGCCTGTTCAGCTGGGAGTGCTTGCACGTGTGCACGCACACACACACACACACACACACACACACACACACGCACACACACCCACACACACACACACACACACACAGTCAGAGTCCCGGCCCGCTCATCTATAGTCTAGCCAACGATGATCTCAAAACAGACCAAAACTCACAAGAATGTCGGGCTCTTTGTTTCACTGCTCTACTTTCGGAAAAAAATAATTCCCAAACTATTTGGAAAAATGTTCACACACTTTCACAACTGTTTCGGTAAACATGTACATGTGATGTCGAAGCGGAGGGTTTATTTCAAACTCAAGGCCAGCTATTTAATATCGGTACACGTCCAGATATTTTGAACACAATAGAAATATCTGCCTCCCCAAGGACATGCGCACTGTATGCACAACAACAACCACCTTGCCAGGCAGGAAGTGGGTCCAAGAGTTTCCTTGGATTCGTTCCAAATCGCACAAAAACATTTGAAGAACTATTCTGTAGCCACTGTTTGTCAACGTCAATGACTATACTTCCACATCCCTACAACTCTTCCGAATAAATTGTTAGCCTCACTTACAGTCTCTCTCAAACGTGAAGACATCCTTCACATTTTTGCAAATATGTTATTTCAGGGACTATAAATCGCTCCGGAGTATAAATTGTAACAGTCAAAAAAATCCATCATGAAGAAGTAAAAAAACAGATAATAGTCAATCTGGAGTACCATAAGTCACATTTGTGGGGAAATGTATTTTACAAAAACCGAGACCAAGAACAGTCGAGCTCAGACCCGCACCCAAAATCCACGCTCCCTAATCGTGGGTGCATATGGAAATCGGCGCGCACTGCTTCACTCCGAACTTTTGGAAACTCAGAGGGTTGTTCAAACGTGCCGCTCGGTTGGTTGTTCGGAGTGCCCCATAAAAGGAGTGCCGGAGCCCCGTGTCTCAGGCAGTACAGAAAGAACCCGTTCAAGCACAAACTGCTAAGTGGTTTCCAACATAGGCTGCATTTGAAAATTAATGGGAGGGAAGTGCACTCTGCCTCTCCAAAGACACACACACTCTCAGAGCGGCGTTACCTTAGCAGAGTGAATTTCTGAACGCACCCCGAGTGGAGGACAGCAAAAGAGCTCTAGTTGGACAAAAACTTCCTCTGCTAACTATAGAAAATATTTTCTTTTGAGTCTAAGATCACATTAACTAGAATCCTGCGTTGCAGTGGCACTAAAGGTTAAATCCTGAATGGTTATTGTGCCTTTCGATGCTATGAATACTTGTTGCGGCGTAAGGAAGCCGCATGCTATTCTCGCGATACGTTACACATTAGTTGCCGTGACTACCACTTCTTCCTTTTCTTCCATTTTGTCTTGTACTTTCTCTTGCCCGTTGGCAAATACTTTTGGTGCAATACCGCCACCAAAAGTATTTCCCGACCGCCAAAAAAAAGTCAACAGGAATAGGGAACGGGGCTTTGGGGTGACAGAATATGGTCTGAATTTAATATGTACAAGTGGCACCTGAGTGTAAGCATTGGGAATAGAAAATAAAGCCAAAATAGCAGGAGCATCGGCACACACACTGGCGCACTGTCCGCCATCTTCAAAGCCTCAAATCAGCTACTTTCAACAAAACACACAACGCTCGACAGAAAACACACACTACTTGTGGATATCTTTCCACTTAGGTTTGCACTGGGCTGGAACAGATAGAAGCAACTCAGCGAGGCATTGAAGGAGTCTGCGGGCTTCACGTGCTGCCTCATTTGAGCTCTAAGTGTCACCCACCACCAACCCAAGGTTAACTCAAATGCTTGGAAATGCTTGATTTTATCAAATGAGTGCATGCGATCATCGGCCTTATGGACAGCTGTGGCTAACCCCGCATTCCAGCCAAAATCACATTTAGGAGCAACAAAGAAAATATTGACGAACCCGTGTGCATTTTTGTCTGACTAAATCATGCACGGTGCTATAGCCGGCCGGTCAGCAGACATGCTCACGTTAGAGGAGAAACTTTTCACATCCCAAGATGACTCCAGCTTCAGGTCAAGTCACATGTGTGTGGTTGTGCGCTCACTAATAGGATAAGATCTAGCCGTAATGGGACACAGCTCTGTTTCAAGCATTAAAATTGTGTGAGTCTAACGTGTTCATGTTTGACTGTACACATGTACTTCATTTATTCAGCCGTCAAGGAAATGCCTGTGAAAGTGACTTAAATGTAGCCAAAACACAAGCAGGTCTATTTGTCCTCTTTTTGTCTCATTGAAGACAAAATACAACATGAAGTCATTGGAAATATAAATATCACACCGGGATACATGTTTAGTCTATAAAATATGACAAAATGTCAGCTCAGCACTTCCAACGGCTAATTATAGAACATTACCCACTATAAAAGCTTTTAGAAGCCATTCAGTCATTCAAACCAACTTATTTTATTTACTTTTGATTGGATACATCATCTAGTTCACTCAGTGGAACTGACCACAAAAGACAACATTGTTATTCTTAAACCAGCCCAAAAGGCAACAAGCACCATGATAACCAGTAGCCACATTTAATTCCAATTTGAAGTTGTCAAACGTGTGCTTGAATCCACTACTAAACACTGCGTTCTTCATTTTCCTTTAGGATAATCCACAGTGGCACACTCGCTTTGCTACCGATTTCAATGCAACCCAAAGCAAAATGCATACATTAAATAGTAGCTCCTTCCGCTTCTGGTAGCCTTTGTGTTCCACTGAGCATCATCACACATAGTCCTTTATTTCATTACTTTGTCTCATGTGTCATCAAAGGCAGCATGTGACAAGAAAAAAAAAAAAGAAAAACACATCAGACATGTGTCTAACAGTAGCCTGTGTCTATTCATAAAATAGTGATGGACTATTGCTGACTTGAAAACGCTTGTTGTGTTTCCGGTGGTGCCACTTGATATACAGTATCCCAAAAAAGGTTTAGGGTTTTTTTTTTCCAATTTGGTTGTTTTCCATTGGATGTTGGAAATGGTTAGCTGTACAGTGAAGATCATTCTTACCTGGTGGTGGCAGAGTGGCCAAATTTAATTTAAATTTTTAAATTTTCAAGACAGGGAATCAAACCTCCATCATCAGGTTTGTGAAAGATATTTCTCACAGGTATGTGTAAAATGTTTGGTTGAGTTACAACCCGCATTCCATTGAAACATCAAAAGAGCATGTCTGTGCCATGAATCGGCGCAACAGAAAAGTGATGCTCAAACGATCCTTGCCTTCGTAGTTAGATAACAGCAAAGTTGACCATCTACCAAAGCCGAAAAGATGCGATGTCAAACAGGGTGAGTCACCAAAATAATCCAAAAGGTAAGAAAAGCTCAGCATACCTGTTAAAATATAAATGGCTGCTTGGTCTCCCTTCCAAGTAACTTACTGTCATGTAGCAATTTATTCTTGACGTTCAACAGTACAGCAAAAAAGAAGACGGTTTAAATTATCATTCAAGTTTCGGATGAAGAATGTGTGACTTTATAGTGAAATGTCCAGTTCGTTTGAAAATATAGTACCTTACGTAACTATCTCTCAAATTTTATGAAAATAATGGGCACTTAATCACATCGAAACTGTGACAAAAGGTGAAATCGCATTTTGTGTGCATTATTCCTATTTCGGGGCAGAAATTTTGTGGCCATAAATGACTATTTAATGCACACTCGTTCATGTGCCATAATTTCACTAATCTCATATCTGGCACTCTGTAAACATCAACTCCCGTGCCGAGTAAAAGGCCAACAAGCAGCCCAAATTGGAACACACTTTCAGCCATAAACAGAGCACAAAGCACGATTAGTTATCGAGACAAGTATGTTTCTTTAAGGTGTTTCAAACGTCTGTTTCATGTGCCTACTTTTTGGGTCTAATATTCTAAAAAAAAAAAAAAAAATGTTTTAATTACAGTTATGTCACCTGTGATGCCATTTGAGAAATAAAAACATGCTCCCACAACACTATGCTTCTGCACAGGAAAGGAACAGAAAGCAAAGCCCTGTGTGTCAAAGTGTTTTTCAGTAGATAAGGCGTGTTGCCAACTCATCCGGCTCATAGATAGCGTCTTAATTGTTCGAGGGTTGAAGAAAACACTGAAGTGTAAACCAGGACAAATCATCCATCAGACGCCTCTGAGAGGCCCCTAAAGTCTGGACTGGTTAAAGGGGATAATACTAATTAAGAGCTCTGCTTACAATCCAAATATTAGCTTTACGAGGTCAACACTTTGACCTCTGCTGCTCATCACTGCAGCAGACCTCAAGCGCGTCAGCTCTTGACTTATGACGTTGAACAGACTTTTCTACTTTGGAGCATTCACAACCGCAGGAGGTTGCGAAGATTTGCGAAGAGCATAGATGGTACATTCCCCAGTGCTTCATTGCGGAGCAGATGTGGAAATTGATGGTCAGCGCTGGGCACAACATGTCAACATTTTGATTGCACAACAAACCTCATTCGGTGGCACAAATAACCAAAAGGGCTCTTCGGTTCCAGAGGAAAAAAAAACATTCAGCACCCAGTTCTCACTTAGGTTGTGAAGGATGTAGGCAAGAAAAGGAGTCATCATTACCTTTCTCGCACTGCGCCCCGGTGAAGCCGTAGGTACACACACATCTGTTGGGAGCCACACACCTTCCTCCATTAAGGCAGCCATTTTCACAAACCGCTGTACAAAAAGAGGACAAGGGTTATGTTTTGTTGACATAACATATCATCTCGACATTACCTCGTACTTTGAGTATACACTGTGTTGGATTTCTTGCAACATGTTAATCATAACTACTGACAAAAACTGACGGATATTTCAGTATCAATCTAAAATGCTCTTTATAAAACAGTTAAGTTCTGATTGGGCAAGAGTCATTCCATGAATGATGACATAAAGCTCGACAGCAGTGGGACATTTAACTTAACACGTCACTATGCCTCACGGGTGTTCTAAACCGTTAATTGGGCCAGAAATAACAATAAGATTAACTAACATGACGGTGGGTTGTTAATAAAGCAAGGAGAGACGTTTGGAGCCGTTAACCGCAAACCTCCAGTTATGCTCATGTGATTCAGTGACACATGAATGACACATTAAGCATACAAATGGGAGCCGACAGCCGCCCAACATGCTAACGCATTAATGAGTACGCAGTGGTCGTGTCAATAGGCTTCATTTTTCCGGACTAATTTGTGTTTTGTGTTGAAGCGGACTAATCCTCCAACTCGCTTAGAGATTGAAACAGTAGAAAAATAGCTTTGTTTTTTTTTCTTCTTTTTTTGGGGGGGGGGGGCATTGTGGACAACTGATGCATTGGCTAGTTAGCATTTGGGCTAATTCCACGGCAAATTCTACTGTTTGCTGCTCTGTGCGTTGGTGGAGGCAAATAACTGAATAATAAACAACGTATATGAATCACAATTTGTTGTTGCTTATTACTGTTAATGAATAAATGCAACAGTTCCATTCAAAATCAATTGCTCGGTGCCGTCCAGTTAGTGTACTGTATTCGTTCATTCATACTCATATACCTGTGGTGAATTGTTCCATTCAGCTCATTGTTTGAAAACAGCAAGTAGTGCAAAAAGTACTGAAACACTCAACGGTTGGACATATACATTCAAAGGTTTAGAGAAGGTCAAATTAAATTCAGTGTGTCCCACTAGTTTCATCAACACATCAACACTTTAGTACTTCGGGAAAATGTCATTAAAACTGAAAGAGAATACTGCTATACTATTTTTGGCCCATGTTGTAAACCCGGGCGTTGTTATATCAACACAGAAAAATGTGTGATGATAGAGGCAGAGGAACAATAACAAAATCAAATGCCGCCCGATGGGTTAAAATAATGTTACAATCACAATATATATTGTGAATAATTCTATTCTACATATCCCCATGAACCATGTGAGGATAAGCGGATCAGAAAATGGGTGGATGGATGGATTCTACATCTTTCTGAGGGTCAGTCGGAACTGAGCTAAAACTGATTCTTTTTATACAAGTAGAGGTTCTTCACAGTTGTGGTGTTTGCCTTAGAATTGGGTCCAAAAACAATAGAACGAAATTTGGAGGTGTGTCGGTTGCTATTTGTTGAGAAGGCAACATGATATTCAGTCGACACACTTTATGTTGTTGCTAGTTTTGACGAGATTCTGTCAAAAAGACCAATCAGGTAAAATAAGCAGTGCTACTTACGTTGACCACAGTGGTTTCCCACGTAGCCTTTCTGACAGAGGCAGTGGTCCTCAGCACAAGTCCCCCCATTCATGCATCGGATGTTACAGTGCTGGACTGTGGGCAGAACAATACAATCAGATAACACCTAGGTGATTATTAATGGGGCATTGAGTGGGTATTGATCCTAGTCAACTCAGCAGATGTGTAGGACCCAAAAACCTAGCAAACTAACAAAAAATGTTTGCCTATAAGTTAGTGCACTTTAGCCACCAAAAGAGGACCATGTGAATATATATATACTGTATATGGACTTGAAGAAATAGTGTCTAAGCAAAAACATCCTCAACAGGATTATAGATTGCATAATACTGATCCCCAAAGACAAATGATATGTCATCCAATCAAATGTCCGATCAGTCGGTTGCTATACAACCCAATCACCCATTTTTAATCAATCGTTTTTTTATTTCTTTTTTTATTTTAAATAACTTGACAGCAGTGGTCCCCAACCACGGACCATATACATCAGGAACCCCACAACCTCTACCCGTAAATTATCTTTCAAAGGGCAGTATAAGTAGGGCTGAGTGATGATATGACTGACAACCGTGATATTTCAGTGTACGGAAGCGTGGAGTTGCCAAAGTGGTGTAAAAAGATTTGGACCGACAAATACGTTCAAACGCACTTGCGAGTACGTTCAAACATATTTAAATACGTTCAAACGTAGTCGCAAGTATGTTTGAATGTACTCACAAATATGTTCGAACATACTTGTTGGCTAAAGGCTACAAATGTAGCATTTTCCCATAATGCCACGGTACATTGACTTGCACATGCGCGCTAACTTTAAAATGATAATTTTTTACATTTTCAGGCATATTCATTATTCCTTTTAGTAATTCACTGTTATTTTATATCGTTCTACATTTGTTGGACTATTGAGTAAAAACTTTTAAAATTTTCTCTGGGTTGATCATTCAAAAGAAATGCTTGATAAACTGTTTAAAGGGGGAAGTCAAGTCAATTTTACTTAACAATAATCTCTTCTACGGGTCCTTATCAGTCATAACACTGCATTCTGAATTATGTTGCTTTTGTGGAATATGAATTAACCAGCAAAAATCTAACCATTGTTCTCCATCTCATGTGGCGGCCAATTTGCCATGTTGATATCACAGTTGCTCAGGGGTAACGACCAATCATGACTCACTTGTTTTCTGCATTTGGGCAGGTGACATTCCCAAATTGGGTCCTTAGGCATTGTAATGTCATGATCAGGTCACATTATTGTCAAGAAAATTTTGACTTGACTTTCTTTTGAAGTACTTTCTATTTTCTTAGGTTTTCAGTGACGGATGCTCTAAAACTGCAAATTTAAAAGCAATTTCAAGTCTTGATAATGATGTTATTTTTATTTATTTTATTTTTTTTAACAACACACATACGGTTATTATCTTGTTTGGCTGAAGGTTTATTTTGGTATTTTAAAGTCGATTTTAAAGTCACTTTGAAGTGACAAATAAACAGCTTTCCCTCCTATTTGGGAAAAGTATAAGTGGGAGTCTTCCCCTTTTCATTTCTTCGAATTTGATGTTATACCACAAGCCTCCTATTTCTTGACAGCGTAAGAGTGAGAACTACGGAATACTTTATAAGTGTGTTAACAGCATCTCTATATTGTGCTTTTTCACCTATCACTGTATATGGCCCATGATAAAGGGGGGAGGGGGGTGTCACTGTCAAGCCTATTTTCACTGTAAAATGCAACAAGACAGTAGAACCAATTCACTGTGTCCAGGTAAGACATGATAGATGCTGTTACCCCACCTGATTTGGATCCACAGGACGTGGCGACTTGGCCCGTGGGACAGGTGCACATGTTGGGTCTGGAGCAGAAGCCATCTCCGCAACTGCTTCGACATATGGCTGCAAAGAGCAACGTAGCACACCTTCAGCAACATACATGTTTCATTTCAGGAAGTCCTCAATGTGCGTGAGAGAGAGCGTAAGCGATGCATTCGCTGAAGGTTTTGCCTTTCACTCGCAGAGGATGTAGCTATGATCTCAACCTCATTAAACCCTCAAAATTTCAAAGCGGCTCCAGTGAAAATGGGGCCCGATCTTCCTTAACCCTAATCATGGTCATGGAGTAGCTGGCGCCACATGTTGCTGAGCCATTCTCTTTTCTGACTTGCTATAAAAGTGCACCAGTGAAGTGTTTTTAGTTGCTGCTGCCTTTTTTTTCTTTTTTCACTCCCTGGCTTTCTTTCCCACAGCCTGTTGTTGGCATCGCTGCGTAGTCTCAGCTCTGGCCAGGTAGAGTCCAGCCACTGACCTCTACTCCCTGAACCCCACTGCTAAACAATGTCATTAGAGCTGTGACAGGCATCCTGGCAGCCGGCCGGCCCGCCAGACTGCAATCATATGAGGCTACGGCCTCTCAGACCTTCCTGTCTACTGAGGGAGGGGGAAAGAACGAAAACAGAAACTATAAAAAGAAACGTCTGAAAGAATGCCGGTGTAAATGAAGCAGAATTAAAAATTTCCACTGGCATGAGGTCATGTTGTCTGCTCGCACTTTATTAAGAGGATTTGTCTCTCCTTTGAAAACATCATCCATTCGCCATTGCAATGTCGGTCCAATTAAATCAGCAAATAAGTGGGGAATTGGAACTATAGGACAACACTTCCTTCTTTGCTGATTTGCACAGTGGCGAGCCCTCAGCGGCAGCAAGGCATTCTCTGGTGGGCTCAACACTTTCACATTGCACTGACCTACATTAAAGTTCAGGTGTGAAGTAAACTTGGCCAACCATCTTTTGAGTAATACTTTGGGCTAAAACTATTTCAAGCATGCTTTCGTTCGTTTTTAACATAACCCTCCTAGATTCATAATTAGACCCAGAGCAACACACTTAACAATGAAAATGGTTTTGGTCGGCAATCTCCGGGGAGTGATGTCATTTCCAGAATTCCAGGTGCCAGTCAGCCATTGCACTGCATTGTTGATTGTCCCGTTAACCGCTCTTTGCCACTGTTACCGAGTTATTCGGCGAAATGCCTCGGCTCTGTGTGGCGATGCGCTGTTCGTATTCCGGCAAACAGTTGTTTGAGTATCCAAAAGAAAAGAATAGGGCACATAAATGGACCACAAAATTGGAAGGATACAGTCGCATTCTCGGAAAGTGATTGAATTTCATACCGGTGTCGACGAGCATTCTTTGTTACAAGCGCTTCAAAGTCCTCTGTTTTCTCAACCGCATTTGCAAAAAAGGTGGGTGTGTCAATCAATAACTGTTGACTGTTGTTTTCAAAAACATTCAGTTCAAAGTACTAAACGCATACAAGGATGTAATCCTTTACGAAAACATTCAAACTATGAGTGCATGGAGGGAATCCTCTGTATTGGTTTACAACTAAATGCTGCCGATATAATGTGCTGAGTGACCGACAATGCAACAGAACTACCTTAGCATCCACAATGTAGGACACCAACCCACTATGGTGTACGCTCTCAGTGCTAGTGGGAATACATGAACCAAATAGGAAATCCCATCGTGCGTGATTTACACCACAGCACAGCATTGAATCGCAAACAATAACCGCAGCCTATATAGTTTTCCGTTCTTCCAATTCCGATGGGTCTCGTCTCCACTCCATGTCCGGCCATTCAGGCACAACATGTATGGTCCAATATCCATCTTGCCAGCAACTTCCTCTTCCTCCAACTCCTCAAACACCTGGATCCCCTCAGATAAGTTTGAAACGTAACTTTCCGAATCGATTTCTGACTGGCTTTGTACACTTTCCAAAGTGAGCTCCGCTATTGTCTTAAAGTGACGTCACACTTCTTGGTTTGATGCTCGTTAGGATCTCACTTTGGGAAAATGATTACTTTGTCAAATTTACAAAATGGATTTTTTTTCATGCTTTAAGTATTTTGTTTAATTTGTTTACCTGTGACATAAAAATATTTTGTTTGGGATTTTCTAAAATTACTTGACGGTTGACCTTGAACAACGTAAATTCTAATATTTGCTCATGAAGCTATGCAATATTATTCCCAACAGTCTGTTGACTTTTTTTAATAATATTTCTCTTGGCTCCACAGAACTCAGTACATGTATGAATAAATGCTCAGCATTTTGCAGTCATCCGACTGGTTGGTCAGAGCAAAACTTGTAGCCAAGTTCGACAAGCTACCTGCACATGTCAATACATTTAATAATCAGTATCTCTGGTGAGCATGGTGTATTTTATGAAAAAAAAGTATTTGTTTTTGTAAAATCATTAGATACATATGGTTCTGAATGGCTCCAGTTGATGAATGTTTATATGTACGACATGATTGTGGTGGTATAAGGTGAATTAAGTCCTGTCAGTCTCCACTGTAGACTCAGTTATAAAATGCACTGTTTTTGTTGGACAACAAACTGAGCTGCCACAAAGAAATAGATGACTGTTCCTGACAGAGTTGAATGCGTTCAATAACCAATGTTAAAGTTTTGTGGCCAAAAAGGCTGATATGGTCTGTCAATCCATTTGGCGGGGGGGGCGGTGATACTTACGGACAATGCACTGGTTTCCCCCAATCAGAGTCTTCCAGCCTGGACAGCAATAAACATTGTTCCTTGAGCCGCATACATTGGGTCTGTGAAGAAAAACCAAAACGTATTCAACAATTCACATGCTAGACCAGTGAGTTGCTCAGTTTTGCATGGCACCATCAGAGATGTATTAACTTAAAAATATGTTTTTCCGATTGTGGTTGTAATTTGCACTGTGTCACACCAACAGCCAGCTGATTTTACTTTTCCTCTCAGTTAGCTTGATTACGTAGCCAAAATATAAAAACTCCATCTCAGAAGTGGTGGCCAACAACCTCAATTCTAATATTTGTTCCATCAAATGATACTAATTTCATCTCACAATATACTCTTCATCTTATTGCCGTTCTCTTGGCCAGACTGCTTCCAGTGTGTCAATATGTCTTTCCAGTGTGTCTTATCTTTTTTCCCCTTGTCCAATCAGATTTCAGTCTCTATCGTCTTGCCGTGTTAATCTAATCTGCCAAGGGCCTTCAAATTCAGTCATACTGTCTGATGTAATTTAAAGTACAAACCTGACGTATGAGTTTTCAAGTTATGAGTCGGCAATTCAACCAGCTTTTAGCTTTGACTTGTGAATGTAAACTTGAGATGTGAATGCTGCACAATGAATTAAATTGCAACAAAAATCATGATCCAGCAACTGTTGAATTTGTTTAAATGTAATTATGTTAACTGCTGTGAATTGGGAATTTCTCCATTGCGAGACTAATAAAGGTGTTCTTATCTTATCTTATCTTATGTTTTTTTTTTTAATTTACAAGATTATACTTTTATTTTTCCTTAAAAAAAAATAAAAATCAAACTTTTTGGGGATTTTTTTTTGGGGGGGGGGGTGAGAGGCTCGCTCTAATTACTGGAATGGCATGACCATTCATTTCAATTACCAAAGATGACATGCCGATATGAGTATTTTGTGTTATGAGCTTGGTCATGGAACGAATTAAACTTGTATCTTAAGAAACTGCTGTATATTAGCAATGGGACTCTTTCTTTAGCCAATCGGATTAATCACCTGCATATCTGATGAGTATGTTGCATTTTATTTATTTATTTTGGGAATGGTGGTTATTTGATATGCATTCATTCTGAACTGCTTCGGATGATGCAAGTCACAGTTGCGTGCTATTATGTCGAGTGTGTTTAGAAAAAAAAATAGAATGATGCACCTATGCAAACATTTCCTGATGATGTCAATGCCTGAGAGCCATCCTGCCTACAGGTGTGCTCGAGGCCTACATAAGTCAGACTCAAATCCGTGTTGACCTGCAGGTCATCGGATGTAACCCAAACCAGATCAATGAGGTAATCACGAGGATGTCAGAAACATTCTTCTGGTGGTAAGTCAGCGTGACACAGCACACAGCCTCTTCCTGAACGCAGATGTTCACATAGATGAACTTAAAGCATGTCATATAAAAATGTCTACTGTGTGACCTTCATCAGCTGTTTGCTGTCATCACTGGCGCACAGATGGTCTCTTTTTCGGGGTCTTTCTTCTCCTGCCTTGCTTGCTTTTATTCTCACATATGCACATGCAAAGCCACACTTACACTCCAGCAGAGAACTGTGTACAGCTGCAGATGTGATTTATCCACATTTTTTTGGGGGCCAGAAAAAGGATTAGGTTGTTTCTCTGTCTCTCTCTTGGTCTCTCTTTCTTTCTGCCACAGCCACACACGACCAATGGCCTCCTTTGTTTGGATGTAATTTATTATTGCAGGCAGCAGGAATGTGATCCCCTTGCCAGTATTTAATTGCTAAGCTTTGCTCCAAACTTCCCCATCATGGACAATCTTACTCATCTCAGCCAGCCTTGCATTGTTGTTATTATTAAAACATGCACACACATATTCTTTGACCTTCAGGGCTCATAAAGGACGTGTGTGTGTGTGTGTGTGTGTGTGTGTGTGTGTGTGTGTGTGTGTGTGTGTGTGTGTGGGTACAGTGTTCCTCTGCTCTAGCCGTAAACAGCGAAAATCTGCGAGTAATTGACGTCCTGCCCCCAAAAAGTTTTACAATAGCCTACACTGTAGATGGCACAAAATGGCAGCAAAGCACTACTTCTGTCTAAATGAAGAACCTCAATTCACTTCAATATATTTCCTCTGTGCCAAAGTTAGATTGTAATGAGTTACATTTCCTGCGTTATTATTACAGAAGTGACATTTTAGGTGAATCATACTTATCGTAGTTTTTCATGAAGGTGTCACATGACTCCCTTTCACTAATCCGCCGTAACTCCTCGTGATGTTTGACTCCTTTTAACCAATCAAACAGAGCCAGGCAGTTACATGACCGCACCCAATTGCCGCGACTCAAGCTACCTGAGTGAGGACCGTGATAATGAAAAGGAAAAGTTAGCTCATGTGCTGACATCCATCTGCCTAAAAATGTTGACATTTCAGCCTACAAGAACTCCATTTAAAACTTGAGAAAACGTGGTGTGGTTTTGCAATCGCTGCCCGGTGATCCTTTTGTGCTTTTTGTGCAAACATAGAAAGTTAAATACTATTTCTTGTAGCTGAATTTGCCTTAATTTATCCGTCCATTTTCAGCATGGCATGTCCTGATTATGGTTGCAGGTGTGCTGGAGCTGATCCCAGCTGAATTCAGACTTGAGGCAGGTTACACCCTGCACTGTTGGGCAGCCAGTTGCAGAGCACAAAGAGACAAACAGCCATTGACACTCACATTCACACCGAAGTCAAATTTAGAGGCCTCAATGTATGCTTTTGGAATGAGGAAAGAAACGGGATTCAAAGCACCAACCTTTCAACTCTGAGGTGACTGCGCTAACCACTCCTCCACTTCCATTTATGTAATCTTTTTTTAAATGGTTTTAATTCATTATTGTCTCATGTATAGTGTTGGGTAATAGTTGAATTGCACATTTTCACTTGATATTTTTGGCTATTTGATGGCCTAATAATAAGAAGTTACGCAACAGCTACTCCGTAATTGAGTATTATTTTTTACAGAGTAACTACTGTAACTACTCAAGTAGTTATTTGTTCGTGGTTGAGAGGAAAGAAATTTCATCTGTGCTGTATGTTGCACATAGAGCACATTTGACAATAAAGTTGACTTAAACTTGAACATGACTACGTTTTACTTGTGTCATAATTTACACAAGTATTTTTACTCAAGAATATTTTTTGGCAACTCTATCCACCTCCTCTTGGGACCAAGAGGCCACCAGTTAGATATATTTTTGAAATAGCTGAGTTTTTCTGCAAATAACAGAGGAGAGGCCCCCCACCCCACCCCAACCAAAAAACCCAAATAAGTGAATTTGCAAATGCCAAATTACGAACGTGCGGGGGTTCACTGTGTATGACTGCATGTGAACACAGTAGCAAGAGATGTTCATTGAAAAGACGAAAGCACGTGATTCTCCAGAGAAGAATGAAGAGAAAAAGGGGGGCGGGATGAAATCAAGGCTGTCCATATGGGTCTAATGGTTGAAGGATTATCATAGTCACATTACCCTCTGAGCACGTCCGTCCCTCCCTTCCTTTTGGCTCTGCTGGTTCTGGAGTCGGTGGTTCTAACCTCTCCGGTGTCCAGAACCTCTGCGGCGTTTCCGAGCAGGACACAGAGTGACAGCTGGGCCACCAGAACCAGCTGCAAGAGCCGCTCTCCTCCGCTCTTACTGTCCTGCATATCCACTCCTCAAGTGTGCAATGGGCTTAACCCGCTGTCCAGCCCTCTATCTGTGGAACTTGTGTGCAGTCTGGAGTCAAAGCTGCAAAAACAATAAGAGAGCAGAGGAGGGTGGGGGGAAGAGGCAGAGGATTGTTAAAGGTCAAAACAACTCCATTGCACTCAGTAAAACATCTGGTGCGTCGTGATTAGTCCGTATTTTGAAGTTGGTTCGAGAGTCGCGAAAACACGCAGTATAAAAAAATAAAATCAAACAAACAAAGAAAAAAAACGATCAATTAATTACCTTGTCTCGCGAGTCTTCCACGCAGGTATGATAATGATACAAGTTTCAAGAGTTGAGCGCAAGCTTCCGAAGGGCGCCTGTGAATAGATGCGCACGGTCACGCGCGAAGTGGGCCCGTGCGCATCCAGCTGCGTGTGGATCCACGAGAGATCATTTAGAGCAGCTGATACATTCCACAGGAGGAGAGAGGGCTGAAAAGTGGCTGAGACTTTCTCCCTTACTCGGCTCTTTCCTCATCCCTCGCCTGCCCTCCCCCCTCCCCCTCCCTTCCACACCAACCTCCACCACAAAAACTCCCCTCCCGAATCACACCATCCGATATACACCCACCCAAATTTAGCTCTCGCGAGACCTATACCGGCAATGCCAAAAATGCAAAAGTTGTTCTGGATGTTTGGTTTGGACTTTACTGTCACCAGAAGTAGCAAAATTGTACTCAGGTTGCATACTTAATCAGAAGTACAGATACAAAAAAAAGAAAGACTTGTAAAAAGTACAGTAGGGGTGCTGATTTAACTCACTCCACCACTTCTGGGGATGATGGTGTTAGGTGGTGTTAATCCCTCTCTGACAGTGGCATAATCGGTATTATCTTGGAAAAGGAAGACTTGGATAGCATGAGTCTGTGTAGGTGTACCTAATGTTGTGTCCAGTGAGTATGATGATTGGGGAGAAGACAGGACAAAAAAAAAATCTCTGTTTTAATAGTATTGTAATAGTGTACAACATAATATAATGTTTTCTTTTGGGCAAGAAAACATCCATTATTATACATTTTGCGGAGGCAGATGAAGAACTAGACCATTGTAAAAGTGAGTATAAACGTGCCATTCACCCAGTATTGAATTATATGCTGTTCATATTTACAGTGTGCGTACAGTATGTTTGGAGGAATTTGGTCCAGGCAAGTGATAGTTTTCACACACACGGCTTCATGTCGGCGGACCCACCCAGCAAATAAAGAGCCTGTCTGGCTGTGCTCGAGCGTTCTGTCATTCAAAGAGAGTAAGACCTGTTCACACACTTCTAGTGATCCTGGTTACGTTTCCTCCTTTTGATCAAATGTTAGTTTCTGGACATTCGTAACTAGCCCACCCTGTGCGCATCTTCAATGACAATGAGTTCTGGTTTCAATTGTGATAAGCGATGAGGTTTACCAATGAAGTACAGTTGTTGTAGTCTGCGGCGGTTTTACATGGAAAAAAAAATGATGGGGAAGCAACCACCGAAGCATAGACCACATACCATGCAGACTACACTACTCGCTTTCTGTCTGGTGTGTTTTTTTTTTCTTTGAACTTTCAATGAAAGTGTTAAAAATAGCGCAGGCATCACAAATTCTGAAATATAAAAGATCAAAACTCAAAATATGTGGCAGATCAAAAACAGTTACCGTACTCTTATTAGTTTTCTTCTGCACAAATCACGCCTTTAAGCCCCACGCCAGCCATGCAGGCTGTCTTAATTGAAAACTTAGAGGTATCAGTGCAAAAATAGTCAAAAATAGATCGCAAAATGCAATTTATATAGGTTATTCCTTGATTAAATGCTTGCTCTGTATTAAATATAAAAATGCATCGGGGCAACACAGTGCTATTTTCTGGCACACTGCCTCCTCTTATTGAGTCGTGGTGGGAGTTTGAAGTACAGATACTTTGGGGTGGGGGGCGCACTGGTGGTGATTCAACTCTTTCTTTAGTAAAAAAAAAAAAAAAAATCCAAATACAGACACCTCCGGTTTTTGAAAGCAGCTCACCTGCTCCTCTTCTCTGACACTCAATCGGAGGCACTCACCCGCTACAGCTCCATTTGCAAGTCTTCCCACCACGCCAAACTTAGTCTCAACAATACTGCACTACTTTCTTTCCCTCACTGTGGAAAGTCCTGCCCTCTGCGAGGCCTCTCCATCACGCCTTGAGTGCCAAGAGTTTTTGTTTGCCTCAACACGGCCAACTGTCAGCTCGGGCGGCTTCTGATAGCAAAGTAACTGCCAGCTTTTTCGCATCAATGTCTCAAAGATTTGTGATATTTACTTTATTTACAGTATGGCCTGTTTGAACACCTGCAACTCCCTGACACACGTCCTCCCCAAAATACCCCTCGACCACTCCCACAAAATATGGAGGGCAGCTCTGTCTGTCCATAAATCGGAACGGCCTTGTTCTCAGTTATCAGTAAGTCCAGTCTGGGTCATACGACCCTTACATACTGTTCGGGTCAAATTTGACTCATTTTGACACTTGACGTTTGAAGAAAAATACACCAGATGTCATTCTTTGACCCTGGCATTTGATAACTTTTCCTAAAAAGACCCCAAAATACACAAACATTTTGTTGTTGTTGTTGTTTAAAAAAGGAACCAAGTAATATATGCGCATATCTACATGCCAATTTCAGGGGGGAGGTTTGAAACAATCCTGGAAACTGTCTGTTTCCACCACGTCACACAGAAACATGCACCTGTTGCTCTTTGAAGGGTTGTGGGGGAGTCCTGAAACCGTGAAAGAATAAAATGAATGATCATCCTTCCTGAAGCTATGGAACAGGAGTCATATGGAGGTCAGAGGGTGTCTTGACACAAGCGTAAGGTCCGTACCTGCAAAAACAAGTGCCTGCAACGTTTTCTTGGATAAAGGATTAATCTTCCATTTATTCACGTCAGACATTTTGAAAAGACCCGTCATTCACAAATTGACAAGGACAATAATGAGGAGGATGTTTGTCTCAAAATAGACTGGAAACATACCATACATGCATTCAAAGAGGACATGTGTAATGTAAGGGTTAACAGGTGGTCAGGACAATGCATGTTTTCTCATTCGCTGTAACATTTTAAGGAATTTAGTTGCCTCACCTTGCTTCTTGAGTTAATGTGATCCGATGTGAGTCGAATCAGCATCGGAGCACGTTCAATGGGATTTTTTCCATCATCAATTGCTGTCAAGTGCACAGTGACAGAGATATGTTTGCATTTCTGCCATTTGAAACACTTTGAATCATCAGTGTCTGAAGTTTTTAACAAAAATGGCCAACGTGTCCTGTTAAAACGTAATGGGGACATACTTAGAAGACTACATCATTTGTGTGTTCAGCTTCTTCTTTGACAGGCAGACATACAACACTAAATTAATGCAGACTTTAGAGTTCACTGTATAGTATATGTAGATGACAAGTCTCCACGTCTCAAAGTTCTGAAGGCGAGGTCCCGCCGATGCACTATTTTTCTCTGAGACTCGAGAGGGGCTTCTGCACTGAAAGCAGAGAACTACAAAGGCCTGAATCTCAAGACAATGTCCAGGGCAGACCAAAGCTACAGAAAGAAGAAACAGAGCTGATGTCTTGAATCTTAAATGAGCTCAGCCAATGGCACACAAAAAGGCGGCTGTATACTTCAGTGAATATTGATGCCTTGATGATAGAAAGAGTTTAATTTCTTCTGTGAGCCTGTTTCTAAACTGAACCAACTGGATCTCAAATCATCTTTCCCCATTGAAATTGTTTTTTTTAATTAGGAAAAAAATAGCACTCTCTAATATCATACTTTATAAAAACATATTTATGACACCATTAAAAAGAATGTGAAGAATCAGTTTTTCCACATTGTTTGCGTCACTTCCATGGATTTTGAGATTTTGTCTATTTATCTGTCTACGTGTATTGCTCCAGCATTTGTGTTCAAATACGGTTACACCATCACAACACTGATGCTGTTTTTCTGAACTCATCAATGGCCCTATTTATTTATTTATTTATATATTAGATTTCCTAAGGCTAAGCTATGTGGTTGTTTTAAATACACATGTAACTCTTTGTTTTATGTTTAGTTGGACAGAGACAATAAACTTTGGGTGGCAACAAAGAATTCTTTACTATCTGCGAAACTGCTTCTTTTTGTGACATGAGTTGAATTGAGTTCATTGCCACCATAAAGCACACGCACACGCGCGCGCACACACACACACACACACACACACACACACACACACACACACACACACACACACACACACACACACACACACACACAGAGTTTTTGACCAAATGAGTGCGCTTATCTGAGACAACCCTCACGGTGCACCACTCTATTTTGTCCTGGTCTTGGAAGTAACATCATGGTCAGCTGTTTTGTCAGCGTGAGGGGACCGATCAGCAAATAAAGTGAAGCACCCATTTGAAAACGTCTGGCCTGTTTACTGAGCAAATAGAGAGCAACAATATATCTCAAATGTTATTTTATCTTTTGTACTTAAACAATACGCAATGAGGCAGATGCATCTTTTCAACATGTTGACAGCTTTACGCAGACTCGCGGACATTTAAACTGCCAGACTCTGTTGTTGCGCATATGATTCATGGTCATCATCCATTAGATGTAGAGCGTATATAAGCAAATAAGATGCCAAGCAGGCCAGACGTGCAGCGCAGAGGAGGCGACATCTATAGGAAGAAATCAGCTCCCCGACCCCATCTTCAGTCTTCCACCCCTACGCCGTTTTTTGTCTCACTCCTGTTAGTAACTCAGCGTGGGTGTCATTTTGCTTTTTTTACTCCCTTAAACGGCTGATCTTAGAATCCTGATAGACCAAGAATGTCACAGAGCTTTGCGGAATGCTTTTATTTGAGTGCTAAAACGGAACGTCTCCCCGTGCCAGGTTCCAGCTGTACCGTCCGGGTGTAAGAACCCAACACATTCCGAACATCCTCCTTCATCAACCAAACTCTGCGCATGCATCGCAATCATTCTTGCATTAATCTCCACTCTCGCCTGTGTAGTTCTTATTTCCCAAGGCTGATCTTAATAGCTGAGATGCAGATAGTCTCCTCACTGGGATGTGGGCTGCAACCTAGTGAGACTTTCTCACACTGTGTGTTGTCTTTGGCTCTGGCCGCCGTGGTTCATTTCCTTTTGTCTTGTGCAGCACAACTTTTGCCAATATTCATGCGCAATGTTTTAAGAAAACGATCTGCAGCAGCAATCATCATGGTTGGGCTGAGTTGCGCCTGGTTCGTTTTACCATCTCTCTCACCGTGGACACACACACACACACACACACACACACACACACACACACTGATAATATGGCCGCACACAATCAAACACAACCGCAAATAAAGATGGGGAATCTCCCTTTCAGCAAGGCTTTTTTTTTTCCTCTTGTGAGTGTGTTTCCTCGGAAAGTTGCTTCCTAGAAGTTATCGGAGCATACAGTGCTACAAGTGATGAC